GAAAATACATATATTTAGAATAAGGAATTTCATATGTTTAGAATTGGAGGTCACACGTACTATATTCAGAAGAAAATAATTCTAGATATGTTAATTGTACTAAACAACTGGTTGATTTAAATTTTAAATTTAATTTAAATTCAATTTAAATCAGAATATGTACGATTCAGGTAAGGATTCTCAAGGAGTGTGTGACTGCAAATAATATGTGTAATAAGGTTCCTATTAATGTGTAATAAGGTTCCTATAAATAGTAATAGAACTTTACAAGTTAATTTAACATATGAGTAAACTTTAAGGATCCAAACTGTAGATTACTAGTTCTATAATAATTTGCAGACTGAGTTTTTCTACAGGGAAAGTTACTACATTGCAGTTTTTAAAAGCATGTAGAAATTATCTGTCGTCTTTGGGTTTTCCTTCATGACCTTTTAATGAACCAAAAGTGTCCCAAGAAAATTATGGATGCTGATTTAAAGACTGCTGAAAAAAAAATTGAGACATTTATTTAGGGAAATTATTGAAAAGGGCATTAAATGACAAATATGTTAATTTGCTGTTTATATATTCCCTGTAATCTGACTGAAGAATAAACATGATGAAGCTTTTGGTTTCGAGTATACAGTCTCAGCTAGAAATAATCATACAGATTGATGCTTAAAAATTGCTTCAAGGATGGATCCCATTCAAATATTCCAAATAAAATATGTTAGAACCAGTCAAATACTGTATTGTGCAGTCTATTTTAGGTCATTGGAAAATCCTAATTGATTTATTGACTTTTTAACTTTTATGTTTTTGGAGGCCTTTTGACATAGCATTCAAATATATTAAAATCTCCCTTTTTGCTGGGAAAGTATGTTTTTAAAAACTTCGAAAAGACTTCAAAACTTTATTCATTTCATCATGTTTTCTGTGATTGTTTTTTTCAATAACATCATAAATACTCGGGGATATTTGCAAAGGAATAAAAATTTAGCATTAAAAAGTTTCCTATTTGGCAATCCACTCTCCAATGTTGAGAGTTAAGTTTAATACACATTTAGCTCAGTATTTGTTAAGTGCTGAATTGCACATCTTTTTGCTTACATTCTAGAAGTCTTCAAATATTTTGCAGCTTAATTTTCTGGGCCCTGGAAAAATGCACAGGTATTTACTGGACTCTGCGATGGTGGGCAGTGCCAGTGTCAGCCCCGGCGGACCCGTGGGCCTGCATCTCTCCAGGCCTCATTAATCTCTGCTCACAGGCTTGGAACCAGCAATGCCTGGGCCGGCCTTGAGCCCTAATCTCCATGGGTTCCGAGTGTTCAGTGTCTGTGGCCATCCATCCTTCCATTCACCAGGCTGTGGTGCTGTCCTTCATCACCAGTCCGAGCCTCAGTAACAAAGGAAGAGTTGGCAGAGCATTCACTCACGTAGAGCCGTCATTACACGTGCTTCCGAAGTCTACCTAATCTCAGACTTGCTATGCGCCTGGCTTATAGGAGCAAAATAGGAGCCCTGACATTCCAAAGGTTATAATCGCACGTCTAACTAATTTTTCACTTGAAATGTCTACTGACAACTTCGTATGTTTAATGAATATTTTAAATGTATCAATAAATAATATGTGTAAATTGTACCCTGAAGGTAAAATATAGGAAATTAATTAATGTTACACACATTTAACACACTAATATTCGGGGTACACATGTCTTCAAGTTGTTAAAAATACAGAAAATGTATTAATTCTAATCAAAATAATTTGGAGTTCTGCATTTTTGATGAAATTAAATCTCAGTAAATTAATCTTTAATTTAGTCAGATCTATTGGCCAAATGATCTAATTTTTCATCCTCTCATGAAACACACAGGAGGAAACAGAGAAAGCAGAAAAATAGAAGGACAAAAATATTTAAAGCTTTAAATCCCCTTTTCCAGCAATACTAACGATTCTTTTAGGTCTTTTCAATACATTCACTGTTATTTTTAAAGAAAATAGCCAAGTAAGTTTCGATTCTATTAGCTCCTAGTAAATCATTACTTAATGAAAACAGGTCTAGCAGAGAATGTAATGTATTATTTGTTCTGAGCACACCCCTGTAGGAACCAGCACGCATCCCATCTGTCAACGTCACTGTCCTTTAGAGCTTCCACGAGAACACCAGCATCAAAGAAAAGAAGGAGATAAGATAAAGAATTACAGTCTATTTGCAATAGGAGTTTTCCATTTATTTCACTTGTTACTATCATTTTAGAACAACTTAAAAGTCTACTTGTTAGGAATCTTTACCTGACACTAATGGAACCTCTTTTGACAGATTTTTTTGTAGAAAAATTATATGGTGTGAATTGAAAACACAGAACTGTCAGGTTGGATCGGTTATTTTGTATCTGCAGGTGCCTTCTTGGCTCCTAGAGTTTTCTCAAAGACAGGAAAAACTTCATCTATTTCAGAAAATACTCTGCATTATTAGACAAAAATAGTGTTATTCCTTCAAGCAACTATATTTTAACTGAAGTTCTAACTTCAATTGGACAATATTCTGTGTGTTGGATTAGTATTTTTCTACTGACCATGGTTATATTGTGGCCAACTTGAAACAGAGTTTTGGGAGTGGTGTGTGAGTAGGCTATTGTAATTACTTTATTCATAGCTACATGCACCAGTCCTACAATCTTCCCATTTTATGAATATGTTGTGTAAGGCTAGAAATTGTGTTGATATTGATCCTGGCAACGCCACTGGCTTACTCTGTGTCACTTGAAACTTGTTCCTAGGTCCACTCACGCATACTGTCCGCTTCTGCTTGCCGTCCGTCACCTCCTCTCTCATTTCTTGTTGAATTTATCGCTTTCTAGGATATTCTGTCCATGATCTTTCCTCAGAACCTTGGTATTTACTACTGCTTCCATCCAGAACCTGCTTTTGCAGATATCCTTGTGGATTCTTCCTTCAGATCCCAAGTGAAATGCCGCGGACTCAGGGAGGACTTGCCCACTGACCGTCTCTTGGCTGACCTTCCAGCATCTCTGACCTCTCGTTTTCTAGCACTATGTCCGTTGCAAGGAAGACCTCACATGGCACGTGCCTTCTCCACACACTACCCGTGCTGAGGGAGGGAAGGACTGCCCTTCCTTTAACCTCCACAGGTCCATCTGGGAAGCCCAGGGGAATTCAGACACCCCTTGCTGGGTCAGAGAGCACCGTCCTTAGGGCCCCTGAGCATTCCTGATGAGCTGTGACACTGTTGTCCACCGTGGGAGCCTCAGGACTTCCCTCTTCACATCCACGTTCTCATTTGAAGTCGGTAATCAAGGAACCAGGGCGACCACGACGCTGGCGCTGCCCCTCCCGTGTTACTGTCCCCTGGCACTCTTTCACATGCTCCCTTGAGCTCAGCAGCAAATCCCCTTATCTCCAGCCACGTTCTGCAGTGCCCCTTATCTCCTCCCCAGATGAAGTCGGATGCTGTTTCTCACAGCACCTTTCAAGAGGCGGCTATTTCTCGCCCCCATCACTCATGGCTCCGAGATTGGAGCTGTGATAATGTGCTCTTTGCTCATCGGGGTCACTTCCTGAGCCGTCTCCCTGCTCTTAAGTCCTGCGACTCTGTCCTCAGGACAGAGGCTCCCCGCAGCTCCGCCGGCCTGCTGCTGTTGAGTTGGGGCTGCGGTCGTTGGCCCTGCCTGTTGTGACCCTGCCACTGAGCTGCGCCTCAGCCCAAAGCTTCCCCCAGAGCCGCTCACTTCCTTTCTGCTGTTGGGATTTTAGCTGCCGCTTACTGGGCTATGGTGAGTTGACCATCCACACAGGTGGTCTTTGCAAACTCTTGGTTAACTGACCTCCTTCTTCAAGCTCTCGGTTTCCACCTAATTACTAGCTGGCCATAATGTCACCATTTCATCCTGTGTGCGTACAGGAGATCCTGGTTATGAGGCTGACACTTGAGTGGTCAATGTTTGTATATGTGTTTGGCGAAACAGGTTTTCTATGTGGGTAAATTAACTCTGAGTTTTTTAATTCTGTCACAGATTAAGGGGTAAAATAAGTTTCTATGGAATTGATAAACTGGGTAATAGATTCTGTTTCTCAAAATAAATTAATATAGAACTTTTTATTTCTCAAAATTGCATAGCATAATAAAAAGAGAATTGGAATCAGCTGTGAAGTAAATAATACTTTAGGATCAGTATCATATTATTGATTCTTTATTCCAATGAGTTTAGTAATGTATAATGAGTTTCTCAGTCAGCTACCTACTCTCCATTGTTTCTCTTTTTTTGAGAAAATTTTGTATTTTTTCCAAATGCAGCAGCATGACGTCTTTGGTTCACATTTGAATTTCTTTGCTTTTTTTCTAAAATGTGTTCATTAATGATTTAAATATGACAAATATCTACTCAATACTGCAAGCCAAGTATTTTACTAAAATGAAGTTGTTCAAACATACTTTCAGTTTTAATCATAGAAAAATTCAGCTGTTGAAAATTTCTCTTTCTTTACCTTATTGTAGCTTATTTTCTCATTCAGTTAAAGGGAAACACTGAGTGCCAGTCCAGTTACCTGGTAACAGTGCAGTGAAGTCGTGGCCTTGCTGGGCTGGCAGTGGCAGCATTTGGTCCTGGGTGGTGAGAAAGTCTGGTGCCACCACAGAGCTGTGGACCAAGCAGCAGAGTGAGCCAGGGTTCCCACCAGGTGTCAGACAATGTAGTGCCCCTTCACACTGTGGGGCCAGGTAATAAATTACTTCGGAGTACCTCAAACCCAATTAGTAAATGCAAATAGGAATTTGTTTGGGAGAGGACAGTGAATCATTTGCAGGAGGGAAAATTTCCTAAATTTAGGGTCTTCAGTCTATGTCAGAAATTTCCTTTCCACATTTTATTTTCTGATTGAAAATATTAAGGTTATTTGGAGAACTTTACACTGACTTTTCATTTTTTGGAGCTCTTATGAATAGACTGAGTGAAGTATGATTTATGCTGAATTCTAAGAATGAACTTGTTCGTTTTTATAGGATACCTAACGTGTTCAGGTCCCTAGGATAGCCCGTGGACTCAACAAATGCACCTCAGGAAGCAAGGCATTTCCCTAGACGAAGGTAAGACATTTAAGACCTTTGCTTGTTGCTAAGTTTTGGCAAAATGTAGGTATAATGATACATCTTTATGTGTAATTCATGAAAATCGTTTGGAACCATCAAGAGCAGCTTCTGTTTTCACTTATACGGTATAGTTTTAAGTTCTGTGGAAGAATTTGGAAATGGTGAAAGGATTCCAGTATTTTAAAAAAACAGTTTTTAGGGTGGTCACAGTACCACTTCAAAATGCCAAGAGATAAAGTTTTACAGCGCTGCTTTTTTATTAAGCCTCATAGTGGAAATTTCTCCGGGCTGGCCAGGTCTCCTGGCGTGCACAGAGCGGAGGTAGCTGGTATGTGGGCGGGTTGCCACCCCAAAGACCCTTTGGCCAACCGCCTGGGCCACATTTCCTGGGCCACACATGGTTACCATCCGCAGAAGCCGCTGCAAGACTCCAGTGCCAGTGCGAGGGAAGGAGCTGGTTTCTGATGTGTTAGACTCTTTTGGTTCTGACCAGAGACGTGAGGCTGAACTCTCATCTGCAGAGTAAAGCACAGTTAGGGATGAGAATGTACACACTTTACTTCAGCCCCTTTCGGCACGTTTCTCAAAACTCACTTCACTGAGTGAAATAGGAGAAGCTCTTAGCGTTAGGCTTACTGTTCTGCTGGATTCTCTCTTGTATCAGAAGGAATGCGATATGACTGGGCATCTATGAATAGAGGACGGGCCTGTAAAGAGAAGGAACCTGAAGTTATTATGGTCATATTTCCCACACAGAACACAGTAGAATACAACTCACTTATCAGTGTTATTTGATTTTTATCGTTGTTAAAGTGTTCCCAAGTTTACTAAATTCATTGGATTTAATTGAGCATTTTCCTGTGTAGCATGAGCAAATGTCTTATCTCCTGGAGTTCTCACATCACTGTCAAGGAAAATGAGATTTTTTTTTAATGAAACCTACCTTAAAATTAATTCATGGAAACTTCAGTTACACATCCGAAGAATTTGTCATCTAGGGGCCGGGGATTTAGCTCAGTGGTGTAAGCATCTGCCTGGCAAGCACAAGCTCATGAGCTCAATCCCTGGTACCAAAAAACAAACAAACAAAACAAAACAAAGAATTTGTCATCTAAAGTGAAAATCCATTAAGTTGCTTATTGTAATTGTTAAGGCATTATGGGTATTAATTTTTAGTGCAGGCATACTTCCTTTTTTAATGTTTGTAGGAGAGTAAAGACTTCACAAAACACAGTGCTGGTTCTCTAGTGTATACATACTCTGGGGTGATTAATCCAGCCATGGTCTGTGTTACCTCCCATAGTTACTGTCCAGTGACGGGAACATCTGACATCTCTTAGCATTTCTCAGAAATACTAAGCACCACCACTGGTTGTAATCACTTTACTGCAAAATGGATTTCTTGAACTTACACAGTACTATCCAGCCATGAAGAAATACTGTAATCCTAGCATTTGTAACAGTATGGGTGCACCTGGAGAACTGTGTTAAATGAACGCAGACTCACAAAGACAAATGCTGTCAGATCTCACTCAATCTAAAAATACCAGAGTCACAGAAGTGGCGAATGGAATGATAGGTCCTGGTGGCTGGCAGGTGATGGGCAGTGGTTGATGGGACGTCGTCTGATTCTTTTAACAGAAGTACTCTGGAGGAAAATTATGGCATATCCAACAAATTCTGAAATTCTTACATAAAAATTAATTAAATGAACAATGTATTTTGTTTGTCTCACTAAATCTATTATCAAACGTCTTGTATAAGGAATGCTAACATAGAAAAATCAATGATACTTTTTTCTCTCCTGAACCTGAAAATTCCTATGTCATTAATGACTATTTCCTAGACATGAATTCATATTTACCAATAAATAAATCCTAGGTTAAATATAGGTAAATGCCTTACTAGTAAGTTGTGGAAAAATATTGCAAACATTTGTTTGAAAAGTAGAAGATAATGAAAGAATCCTGTAGTTAAGAATAAAATTTCAGAATTAGGAAGTGAAGAAATTAATATGCAGCAATGTTGTAGGTGAATTGACTTAAAACAAAAATTATTGTTTCAAAACACTGAAATCACTTAAACTTCCCTAAGGGATGTCAGTATTTAAGTATATTTTTCCAGGAAGAATCCTTTGACTCAGTAATTCACTTCCTTAATTAGTTGATATCTAATTTTGATTTGTAATAAGTTTTTATGGCTTATAGGACACTTATATTTCAATCTGTACTGTAATCACTTCTAAAACTGTGAAGGAACCAGAATACCTTTCCTTGCATTAAGATTCCCTAGAATTTTAAGGACAAAGAGAAGGAGAGATTGCTCAGGTTTGCTAAGTAAGAAAGCTGTACTGGGGTTGAGCTCCATAGAGCTGCGGTAACCTGGACACTGGACGGCTTGGTCAGCTAGCGAACTCTTGACTTACATCAAGGCCCACGGTGGGGAAAAGAGGACTTAGAGGTCAGCCTTGCTCCGAGAAAGTTGGGTGGCCCCAGCTCACCTCCACTGGGCTCCTGCTGGTTGGGCGGGAATGGCGTGTGAGTGATGGTGTCGCCTGATTGAACACCTTCACTGTCTGCATTTGACAGGTGTCATCCTCGGAGCCAGCTGCAAATATTCTTTTGTTCCATAATAATTTCTTCTTTTCTCAAACTGCTCTTCCATTTTGCTCAGTCTTTGATAATCTGTGTTCTAAGTCTCTGGGTCCATGGATTTCCCAGGTTGCAGGGCCTTGGAGCTCCCCCACCCCCTGGTTCACATACAGAAAGGGAAACAGGGCTGGGGGGAAATTTGCGCCAGTTACTGTAATTCTCGAGCTCTTCCTCTTGCATCCTAAACTCCTGTTCCTGATTTTTTTTTTACTGGACTTTCTTCCTTATTTGCTTTAGAAACTGCTGACAATCCCCATTATGTCCATTTTTTATCTGCATTGTTAGCAACAGAAATTTATATCTGTGTGAACGGAATGAATGTATTGCCCTCCTCAACTGACAACTGTCTTCCATGAGGAAAAACAGTTGATCAAGAAAAACTGGGTAATAAAATAGAAACATGTATTTAGTGTACTGCTCAAAGAACCAGTCTCCTGGAGAATGAGATTTTATGGCTGGCTGAATTATCTGTAGAGATGAATATGAAAGGCAAATCTCTCTGCACAAAACTCCTTCAAGTGCTGACAATTATCACTGACTAAATTCCATGCACTTGTTTTTTCTTGTTAACATCATTGAAGACTAATTTAAATAAAATAAACTGGCTGTCTTTAAAGGGCTTAAGTCTATGAAGTTTGACAGAGGTAGCTACACAGGAAGGCCCCTTTGCAAGCAGGATATGCACCATTTTGCTTTCCTTGTCAGGACCTTTGTAAACCTTTCCCTTTCAGGAGCTGTGCATTCCTTTCCATCTTGTATGAGGATCAGCGTGCATTCTTCTGTATCTATTACATAATGACTTAGAGATTTATTTATACGTGAGTTTATATGCGTGTTCATTTTTATTGCTGAGTAGTATTCTATTGAATATAAATTTTTAATTTGCTTACTTATTGGGAGTTAGTTGTTCTCACCTTCTGAGATTTGTGAATTAATTTTCTATGGTGTTCTGAATATCTTGGTTTAAGATACGTGTTTTCCTTTCTCTTGGAAAAATAGGTAGGCTTGGAATATCAGGATCACTCAGTAGCTGTGTATTTTAGGAAATGATGAACAAATGTCCAAAATGGTTGTACTTTTTAATATTGGTCTGAGAAGTACATGAGAGTTTCTTTTGTTCTTCTTCAGGGATCTATAAACTATCAATCCCAATCCCAGGGTGCATGACTTATCAATAAGATTGTGTAAAACACATCTATACTCTTTTGTTTGTGGGTGGGCTGGTTTCATGTGGTGAACATCAGACCCCTCAGAGCCTCAAATGCGCACAAACCCTAACCCTAACCCTTTAAATAAAGTTTGTTGAACCCTGCCTTACACCCTTTGAAGCCTGGGAGGTTATTTTAATTTTAGCTTTCCAATGTGTATGTGGTGCTATGTCATTGATTCTTTAGTTCACATTTCTCTGGTGGCTAATGATATTGAATATCACTTAATTTACCTATTTTGTATCTGTGTTTCTCCTTTTGTTAATATCTTTTGAAATATTTTCTTAATTTTAATTGGCTATTAATATTGCTATTAAAATATTTTGTCCTATTACTATTACTATGTACTACAGGAACACTTCACGTATTCTGGATATAAGCCCTTGGATGGAAATATATATATATATATGTTTTGTGAGTATTTCCTCCACTTTGTGGGTTTGTCTATCAATTGATTGAAAAGGAACAATTTTCGTATTTTTGAAGTACAGTGTTTTCTTCTTTTCTGATTTGTGATGTAAGATACACTTAGGGGGTTACTTACTTACTGCTTACTACAGGGATGTAACTTTTTCTCCAATGTTTCTTTTAAATATTTTATCCATGTTAGTTTTTGTCTATCAGTAATCCATTTTAAATCAAATTTTATGTATAGTGTAAAGTGTGTGTCAAGATTAATGGCTTTTGCTTGCCAAGATCTACTGTTCTTTTAGTTACTTTCTCTCCTCTGAGACAAAATATGTGACACCCCCAAATCTTAGGCAGAGTTTATTTTGACTCATAGTCAGCTGATTCCAAGGCAGGGTGATGTGGCAGAGGGACACTGCCGTGGAGAAAGAGCTCATGGTACACAAGTGTGGGCAGAGATCAAGAAAGAAGGAGGGAAAGAGAGAGCTCCCAAGGCCATGCTCCTGGTGAGTCTTCACCTAGCAGGATGTGCCCCCCAACATCACACTCAGCCATCCACAGACTAATCCAGTGATGAGTGTCATGCCCTGTGATCCGGTATCTGACAAAAGTCCAACTATGAGTGCATGAGGCTTTGGGGGGATATCTAGATATAAACCGTAACACTGTTCTAGCATCACTTGCTAGAGAGACATTTCTTATTGAATTTCATTAGCATTTTTTCAGAAAT